TTATTTTAAAATTATAAAAATAATTTATAGATTGATATAATATTATTTTTAATTATTGATATTTTAAAAAAAGATATTAAAATTAAATTTAAAATTATAGATAAAAAATTAGTTGAAAAAGATAAGATATATATATTTTAAAAAATAATGTTATTATTAAAGTAATTTGAAAATGTTTCTCTTCCAGTGGCACTGGGAACGGCAACGTTAAAAGCGAGGCCACTGCTACGGCCAGAAAAAGAAACAGGATCATCCTCTGGCGGTGGATTTGCTGCAACTGAATCATTGTATTCTTAAACCTCTATTTTATTTCGTTTCAAAATAAAGCGCTGAAAGCCGAAGGCCACAATGTTGCTATTGTGTTTGGCACAGTATAAATTAGCAATTTCTCTCACACTCGGATAGCAGCAGCTTCATCTTCTTCCGCCTTTCCGTTTTCCTCTATGCGGAAGAACCTACCGGACGCTGCAACCGCACTCAATCTCCATTTGTGCGTCTACCATCTCTCTGCTTCTCTATTCCAGCTTTTTTCTCACTTTCTATTTTAATTTTCATACAATTTTTTGTTATCTGCAATTTCCTGCAATGATTCCATCACTTCACTACTTCACTCTGTAGCTAGTACATATATAATCCACACCGAATGAATCGCCTTCGATTTTCGTTCCAAGAAAGCAAAATCGCGTTCGGAAAATTACTCCGCGTCGTGATTCGAAGTAACAGCTATCTTCGTCTTTGAAAAACAGGAACAGGTAATGGAGAATGCGTGGAGCAACGGCAAGGTGAAGGTCCTGAAGCCGAGGACTTCGAACGAAAACGTTCCGCCGTTGCAGATCGACACGGACGACAAAAGAGGACGCTATCTCCAACCAAACACGATGAGTCCGCGGTATCAACCGTACGCCGCCGAGAACATCGACGTCGGCTCGCCGCTCGCGCGCTACCTCTTCGTCGGATCTCCTCTCTCCGGCAAGGTCGCCGGCGAGGCCTTCACTCCTCCGACGTTCGGCGCCAGCAAGTACAGGACCGCGAAAGCGCAGCAGTACTGCGGTTCGGGGAGCAGCAGCTTCGGTTCTCGCGGCAGGTTGTCGCCGTCGCCGCTTTCGTCGATTGAGAATTTGGAGATCGCGTCGCTCATGTCGCCGCCGATGTACAGAACGCAGGCGACGGGAGACGATGACGTGATTGTGATGGATGATATTCTGGTGAGGCCAGTGTCCGGTGGAAAGAGCGGAAGGTCTTCGTCTTCCTCCTGCCGCGGTTCGTCCTCTTCGACTTCGTCCACAGCGAGAAGCGTGTTCAAGACGGAAATTTGCAGAGCGTGGGAAGAGTCTGGAAACTGCCGCTACAACTCCAAATGCCAGGTTGGTTTTCGCGCCATAACTATACTAATACGAATTTAAAGATATACTAATAAATTCTCATAATAAATATTGTTGTGTTAATTAAAAACTCTCATATATAGTTCACTATTGTTTGTTATTCATTAATTATTGTTTACGAGTAATTTTGCCTTCTAATATTCTATTTAAACGGTGAAGTAAAAACATTTAATATTTTATAGAAATTTAAAATGTTGAATATTTTCTTCATGTGATATATAAGAAAAAATACTAGGGTCGACTATAAGTGAAGTCAGAGTAGTATATAAAGAGTCTTGGATTCGAACTTGAAGATGTTATTGTAATTCTTACGAATAAAAAATATCAGTAGAAGAGTACTTGATTTGGTTGGCCTAGTAATTATTGAACAAGACTGCTTCCGCATTGAATACTACTCAGGTTGGCTGTAGAAGATTAGAGGAGGAGTAATTTTAATTTGCAACCTTATAGGAAGCTTTCCGTGGGTTTTGTCTTGGTGATGGCAATCACGTTCACATTCGAAAGACTTTTTAGGGATGTAGTCGTGGTAAGTCGTGGTTAAATGCAGTTCTTTGCAGCTTTTTATCTTCTGCTCTGGGAAATTATCAATAGGTATCTTTAGGAAAGTTCCAGTAGAGTTATCAGTTATACATATGATTCTTTATTGATTTAAAGATTTTCAAGTATGTAAAATTGTCAAATTTTATCTTTAATTAAGTCAGATAAATACTTTTCCCGTTGGTTGAGTAATTCTGAGTTTCGGTTGGCTTATAATCAAAGAAACTTTTCCAATCAATTTGTTTTAAAAAAAATCCAGTAGTTTTTTCCAAACAATTTTCTTGTACACTGGGTTACTGAGTTTAATGAAATTGTAAAAACATTCACTTGTTGAAAGATTCTTTGGTTCTTCAAGAAAAAAGATGTAGTAACTAGTAACCTTTTTTTATTCTTCTTACTTTTCTTTGCCATATTCTATATGGAGGGTTTGAAAGTCTACTACCCCTGCAGTTTCTTTCGGTTTGGTTCCTTTTCTTGGATATTGAGATATTAGGGATTGGAAATGTGTCCAGAGAGTTTGATTAATGATTTTGGAATTACTACGCTAAAATTTTTGAATCCTCTTATGTTTCCCCCTGTCAATTTCTTTCTTTCCTTTTCAATCCTCCTCTTTTTACCCCGTGAAGAATTATATTTCAATTGCCGCAAAAATATGGAAAGGAAAAAGAAAGGTCAATGGGGTGATTATCAAATGTAAAACTTACCCATTAATAACCGAGTCTTTCTATGAATTGTATGTCCACTGTAAATTGGTGAGAGAACTCTAAAGAAAATTAAGTGGAGTCTTGCATTTAAGACTAAACCATAACACGTATACTACAATATACGATTACAATTTGGTCCTGGATAATGCTTGTTGATATGTACTTCTACCCGAGGAAATTCTGATATTGGTCTGGCCTGAAAATTTTTGCGGTAGCTAAGTAAATAACTTGAATTGTATTTTACTGAAAACATCTATGGTATATCTATAATTTTGGTAAGTTGCACTATTACTGAGACAACAGGCAGGTAGCATGCGTTTCTCATTCAACGTTTATAGGAAATAAATTTTCTGTCTTCGGTATTTGATAGCTTAACCGTATCAATATCTTGCAGTTTGGACCCCTGAAAGAAGAGTTTCGTTCCACGAAAAGCAAATCTGCGGTAAGCATTCAAAAGAGTATTTCGTTCCTACATATCACCGGTTCCCCATGTCCGTCAGTTTTAAAAACACGAAATCAGCAATTGAGTATTTCTTCTCGAGTTATGTAGGAACAGGTAGTGCAATCATCTGTTGGAGCCGGATCAAGCACGCATGGTCCAAGCAGTCACATTGTTCATCAGCAGTCTACAGCAGCTGAATCTGATCATGCAGTCACAACATCCCGACCACCTTCTACAGCATCTGAAAGCAAATCTGGGGTAAGCATTCAAAGGACACATCACAACATCCTTCAGTATAATAAACATCAAATCAGCAATTGAGTATTTCTTCTTGAGTTATGTAGGAACAGGTAGTGGAATCATCTATTCCCGCAGGATCAAGCACGCTTGGTCCAAGCAGCTCCATTGTTCATCAGCAGTCTGCATCAGCTGAATCTGATCATGAAGTCTCAACATCTCAACCACCTTCCACAACATCTCAACCACCTTCCACAACATCCCAACCACCTTCACCCAAAGCTCATCATACCCTCACCAATTTCAACACTTCCAATGACTGGTCACCCTTGGATGATGGTATTGAGGTTTTCCTCCCAAATGGTTCAGATAAAGCACCATCAAGGGAAGAAGTTGATGCATACATTTCCAGTAGTTTCCTGGGTCGGACTGCTAGAAGGAGGCTACCAGTATTTGCAGCACTTTGCACGGGGGATTGATCCCCATGGTTGATAAAATGCCTCTTCACTGATGGAAGATACTCTCAAAAGTCAAAACCCTAGTTTTTCTGCCATTTGAATAATTTCCCCCAATTTTTAAATAAATAAAATCATGGTTGTGCGTATTGGTAGTATAACCGTGGTGACAGTTATTGAACAGTTGATGCCTAGATTACCTGTTTAGTTGTGCATACATTTCAGTATACATTGGTTGTCTTGAACATTTTTTTTTATTCTTGCATGTTTACACATACAAATATTCGGTTGTTAGGAGTTCCAAGAATAATTTTAATATGTCTATAAGTTAAAAGAAGCAAATTACACTGGATCAGCAGTTTCAACACATTGAGTGAAATCAATAATCATGGCATGTATGTTGTTGATTCTGAACTCTGGCCCTAAACAAGGTTGTGAAATACTTGGACTGACCATATGTCTATTTTCCACCTCAAATGAATAAAACGTGGAATATAGGGGAGTGGTTATCTATATTTATCAAAAAGAATCATAGAATGGGCATGATTCGGGATTGCTTTCCTTGATTAGAGATATCATTATCCAAAACAAAGTGGTTCTTCAATATGCTTTGTTATTTACAATAATATCTCTCAAGTCATCCCTGTGACTACAGTGGCTGAGACCACCTCATCAAAGCATGTAAGACTACAATATTTTGACAAAGACACTAGAGAACTTGAAGGGCCTTGATAATCTGGAAAGTTGTACGGGAATCTTATTGTTGGCTTTGGACCTTCACTGCGAATATCAGGAGGAAGTGGAGGAAGGATGGTTTCTCCCAGAAGGAACTGAACAATCCTTCTCATATTAGGCCTGCTATCAGGATTGGGATGAGAGCAAAGCAATCCAAGACTAAGCACAAGCTGAGCTTCATCTTTGTCATACTCATCTAAACTGGGGTCAATAGCTCTGTTGATCTCCCCTCGGTGATGTAGTTCTCTAACCCAGTCTACCAATACCAGTTCCTCAGGATTCTTTTGGGGCTCTATTGGCTTCCTTCCACATGCTACTTCCAAAATGAGTATGCCATACCCATACACATCTGTGCTTGTTCTTGCTTTCCCAGTCTTTGTGATCTCGGGAGCCATGTATCCTAGTGTTCCTACAACATGTGTTGTCTGTGGATTGATTCCATGCTCGTAAGTCCTTGCAAGACCAAAATCTCCAAGCTTTGGTTGGAGATCTGCATCTATCAGGATATTGCTTGGCTTTACATCTCTGTGAACAACCTGCTGTTCACATTCTTCATGGAGATACAGCAACCCTTGAGCAACTCCAGTAATGATCTTGTACCTTTGATCCCAAGTTAGTAATTTCTTCTTTTGATGATCATTTTGGATCAGAAGCTTGTCCAGGCTCCCATTTGGTACATAGTCGTAAACAATGAGGAGTTCATCCTGCTTCCTGCACCACCCATGTAACTGCACCAAATTTCTATGCTTTAGTTGTGCCATGCTTGTTATTTCCGCAACAAATTCTCTGATCCCCTGTCTTGAATTTGGAGCAACTCGCTTTACAGCTACTTCTAGTCCTGTGCTAGGGATTACTCCTTTGTAGACTTTACCAAACCCTCCATACCCAATAAGGTTTCTGTCTCCAAACCTTCCTGTAGCTGAACGAAGCTCGGAATATTTAAATTTACGGGCAGCATATTCAAGTTCCCAATCTTCTAAAATCTCGTCCCCATTTCTTAATCTGCGCAGGACATGAATAGCTCCTATAATTGTCAAGATAAAAAGAGATGCACTTGCTAAAGTGATACCTACTGCGAAGTCTTTTTTGTGCACCACCTTACTAGAAGTACTTGACCCAATACGTGGAACAGCTGATTTATCTAGCACTTGTGCTGCTCCTCCAATTTTAAAGCTCCAACCATGTATATTATGCTCAGCTATCAGCAAACCGTTGGAAGCAGAAAAACCTGCATACATGTAGTCATTTAACACCAAAGATAGGTCTATGGGATAAGATATCAAAGGAAAATATGGCTTTGGCGTGCCAAAGGGAGAAATTGTAACATTCATCAACATCTCTCCTTCATTGTAATCAACCCATGCTTGAATTGGCTTTCCACTCTTGAGACTGATGGAAACGTTCTTGATGTGATCTTGGTCATTTCTTGGTAAGTAGTATGCTGCTGACTTAGAAATGTTAGAGATGAGACTGGATATATCTATCCCCACGTGATTGTCATTGATGTCTTCAAGTTCAAGGTTTTGTACCCCGTCAAACTCTATGGCTAGGAACCTGGTTGAGAATTCTTGATTACTTGTCTCATTTGGGAGGCCTAAATATTGATTTACAAGGCACCCTTTTGGCTGGTTGGTAGATATTAGGACGAATGCTAAACCATGTCCACCAAGATCTGGGTACTTAGGAACAATGGAAAACACAAAGGTAGTGCTAAAGGTTGACACAATGGATTTGTTTTTGCTAGATTTTAATGGCAAAGGAGATGGATAGAATGCATGGCCAAGGATTTTTGCGGAATTATTTGTCAAGGTAAGTATGCCATTTGGTCTCACATAAGAAGCTCCATCCATTTTCAACCCTGCTTGCAGAAACCCATCTCGTACAAAATTGATATCCGAGGATGCAAATTTCAACAGAGAGTAAAGAACAACCAAAAGGATACCAAATGCATGCATTGCCATGTTTGTGAAGTTGGTTTTGGTTGCTGAATAGGATTATAGTTTCTTTGGAATATTGGTGCTACTTAGCGTCGCTAGCATTGCAGAAAGAGCCTATAAATACTGCGTCTGGAAGTTTACACCTTGAAAGGCTTCAGACATAATTTGTAATTGGAAAATGTCTACTTGTACCGAAATAATAATCTATCAAACTTAAAAATAGCTCCTGTATACTAGTATGGTGAGAAAAAGGATTAAATGTATATCATAAAAAAATAAGATTCAAAATAAATATATCAAGAGATAAAGTAAGAATTAAATTACGCTTTTTAAGAAAAAGATGACACGTTTGATCATGTGATTATTCTAGGATACCAGTAGACCAAGACCTTTTGAAAAACAATTAAATTTTTTATGACTGTCGTGTGTTGAAGCAGAAGGCAGTTTATGTAGATAGATTAAGGGTGTGATTGAAGAAATAACTTGATTAAACGTTTATTCAATAAATTTACTAAATAAATTAAAAAAAAAAAAACGTATAAAAGGATCATAAATTACTTATATAGTTTTAATAAATCACGTTTCAATACTTATATAACAAGATATAAGTCAAAATGAGTAGTGTCTATTACCACTCCTTAGTCTTTATTATCTATTTCACTCTTTTTCAATCACTTCTATTCTATTTTCTTTAAAACACTTAATTAAAATTCAGTTCAACATCTGAGGTATTGCTACTTACTTTGAGTTCTCTTCCTATTAAGATAAATATCTTCAAATTTGATTCTGCTTCTACCAAATTGAAGCGGCTTGCTACTAAGGAACTCTGAGAGGAACACGAGGTTTAAAGTAAACAACCAAATGTGCAATAATTTATACTTATGTGTTTGCATGAACATATTGAATCCATATACTGGATTAGCATAGCATGTTAACCATCTGGGAGCGATAGAATAGCAGTATAGTTAATGTTCATTTGTACTGAAACAGTGAAACCAGGCAGCAATAATGCAAGTGATTTTCTTGGACCACGGGCCTAATGTTCTTCTTGGAGAGACACACCTGGCCCGTTATAAGCCCCCCATGCTAAGTTTTTCTGATCAAACATCCTCTAGGTCGTCGTAATTTTTTAAAAATAATAATCCTTTCGATAATAATAATAATAATAATAATGAAGTTTAAAGTTTAAAGACTAAATTATATTTTTGTTTCCTCTATTTTTATTAATCTACAGTTTTGATTCTCTCGTCAAATGAACATCTATTAATCATTAAATTTTAATATTTATTTATAATTAGGCAATGTAACATTTAGTAGCATGATATTTAAATATTAAAAAACTAAAAAATGTAAATAAGATTTATCAATAAAATAAATATCAATCAATCATTAAAATACATACAAACAAAGATCTTTTATGTTATTTTTTAAAATTTTATCTTGCATGTCACGTTATTAAATATTATGTTACTTAAGTGATGATAAGACATTGAACAACATCAAAATTTAACAATTAATAAGCATCAAATTGATGATAAGACTAAAATTTCGTATTTTAAAAAATATGATAACTAAAGTCTTTATTTTAAAATAAAGAAATCAATATTACGTATTAAAAAAAATAAGGAACTAAAAATACAATTTAATCAAGTTTAAATTTATCACTTGTAATTTACCTAAACATTCATTATCTAAAAAATTATAGTTGTACCTTCTTGAGATTAAGTCTGATTGTATCAAAATCAATTATGTGAATATTGATTTATAAGTTTCTTTCCATCTATGTGCTCGAGCTTCGAAGGCTAATGCACCTTCCTAGGACAAAATCCAATTGGATCAAAATCACATACATAAATATTAACTTATAAGTTTCTTCACACTTATTTGCTCAAACTTCAAGGAAGGAAACAATCTCTTCTTGATTGATCTCCCCAAATTTATCACCTTCATATCGACCTCCTTAGGCTGATCACCTCTAAGTTGGTGTCAATAAAATAAAGGCCGAAAGAGCTAGTTTTTATGAGTAAGTGGTCAATTTATATAAATGCATAGATGATTATTCTTGAAATTTTTAAAAGTTATACATACTTAAAATTTTGAGATTCTGATACATCTATGTACGCATTTATAACTTGGTCCTAATAAAGTTAAAATGTACGAGACACTTTTTTAATTATTCTAAAAGCTTAGAGTAGAGAGTTGTTAGACTCTTTTAACAATAGTAATATTGTTATCCTTATAAGATTTATATACGCATGACATATATTTCCGTTATAGTAGTGAATTAATAATGTTGAAGAAGACAAAAAGAAGAGAGAATAAAATAAAATAAAATGAAGTGGTAGTAAGAAAAATGAATTTGCAAAATATGACATTTGAACGTTACCTTCGAACGTCGGCAGTTACACAATCTTGAACAATAAAGAACAAATGGATTGGACAAAGTGTAAAAAAAGAATGTTATAACTTTTCAATTATTACCACTGCCACTGGGGAGTGGCAACTGTGAAACTTGAGTGTGAAGCCATGCACAAATGGGTTGGACAAGTTGGTATCTATTCAAATGTTGACAAAAAAAAGTTGATAATCACATCATTTCCTTCGATGTTGTTTCTTCGTTACCATTTACTAGTAAGCTTCAACCTTATCCACTATAAGGCCGCTAAATCAATAGCAATTAGATATTTATAGTAACAATTAGTTAAGAAGACTTCAATGGAGGCAAATTCTCACTAAATGAAAATAACAATAACACTCTTGAAAGAGAGCTGTATGAACAATTTGGGTTACTAGCTAGATACAAACTATAGCTCCCTATTGCATGATCAAGTTGATATTTGCATGATTACAAAAGAATAATGATTGAAATCCATCTTAATTGTTCCAATTTACAACTAGTGTCAAACGCATAATTATAATCATTAAGTTTAAATCAGATTGCCTTTTCTATTGCTTCAATGTGAAAGAGAAATAGCTGGCAACAATGCATAGCTTTTTGGATACAAATGGGCTACCGAACCATAGAAACAAGAGTAATGAATTAAATTTGTCATTTAGACCCCACTTGGAAACTTTGAAGATTTCTAGAGACTTTGAAAATTATATCGCATACTAAACAAATTGGATTTCTTCCAATTACTCAATCTCAAAGTAAAGCTCGCAGGAAACTTTGTTCATAGGTTACATTTCTTTCAACGCATCAATTTAAAAAGTCAAGAAATACTTTTATCATCTTTCAAGGTATATACAAACATTATATCGCTTGAAAACATCAATTTGCCGTGAAGTTAGTTAAAGAAATGTGTATTAAATTAAACAGTTAAAAAGAATATGAAACTAATCAATTCAATTATTGAATAATTTAGTATTATCTTTTTTAAATGGATATCAAAATCCACATATTTTATTCTCTTACGTATATAATTATATAAATTTTTATCTATGTCAATTACATTTACATATATTAGTAATTTTAGTAATAATAAATATATATTATTTAATATATTAATAAAAATTATAATATATATAACTTAAATAAGTTAAAATTGTATAATTATAATATTTAATAAACTAAAATAGTATATTTATGATATTTGAAGAATTAAAATTATTTAATTAAAGTTAGAAAGATTAAAGTTATACAATTACAATATTTATAAATTAAAATCATTCAATTAAAATCTTAGATGCCAAAATCGAAAAAAAAAATAGAAAACACAATTAAACTTAAATATAACAAATTGGTAAATGACAGGAATAGAGGCACAAAGGTTGAGGACAATTTACTTGATCATTAAATCGTTTATGTGCGAAAAACATAATTAATATATATATATATAAGTTCCCGCCCCCACTAATGCCACACAGTTTTAAGATCTGGATTTGCTAGAAAACTAGAAATAGTGTGTCAATAGATCACTACTTAAATTGCTTACATTTGTATATTAAAATATAATTTAATTTAAGTATATATTATATATATATATATATATATATAATATATACTTAAATTAAATTATATTTTAATATACAAATGTAAGCAATTTAAGTAGTGATCTATTGACACACTATTTCTAGTTTTCTAGCAAATCCAGATCTTAAAACTGTGTGGCATTAGTGGGGGCGGGAACTTATCAAAGACAGTTTCTCATTCGAAAAATAATACCACCAGAACTTTATATTCTTTTCCAAAAAAAAAAAAATCATTTGCAGTCAACTATATACATCTTTTCAACATTGATCTTTCTTTTAAAATATAACACATCAACAATAAAAATAAAAAATAAAACTTTAAAAGGATCAGGAAAACTTTGTCATAAGTTTGAACATTCTAAATGGTGTGATCACAGGTCTTAGAGAATTCACCTATCTTTGACCTTGAATCCCAAAATAACACCAGAAAAATGAAAGTCTGGTGATGATTGGATTTTTCTTAATGTCGTGAGCAGGTGTAGGTTCGTTCTATTTAAAACTACACCAAATCTTTATCAACAAAATTTGAAGGTTTCAGTATAAAATATAATTTAAAATATTAAAAATAAAAAGTAGAAGTGTAGAACGTTACCCCTCAAATTTATAAATTGTACTATATACGGTTATTTTATACTTAAAGTTAATTGAGTTTGTATTTAGCGAATGAAAAACAAATATGGTGTATTATGGAAAAAATGTATTTAGTGAGAAAAATGGAAGAAAAAACAATGTAAGTTGAGAGAGAAGACATCACTAAAAGTAGTCAGTTAGATTCTTTGACAAAAATTAATTATTAACAAAATTTGTAGATATTTTATACAAATAATGTGGTTATAAAAAAGAAAAACAAAGAGGAGAACTAGTGACACACTCTCCCTTATCGGTTAGAATTTATTTAAAATCACAAAATCAAGAAAAACATTAAATAGGATGTGAGATCCATCAAATTTTTCATTTTTCAATAAATTTCAACCAATGAAAAAGTGTTTAAAAAATTTAATATAGAGTGTGTTGCTAACATTTATCAAAATAAATATTAAAAAAATATTTATCACTTAATTATATTTTCCAATCATGATGAAAAGTACATGATGATGAACCATGCCCATCAGAAAGTGGCAACTCATGAGGCGACAAACGACGACAGATCTTGGATAGAGCAAGTTGTCAAAATGAACAGTGTCGTGGATGGATAATTCCACAAATGAACAGTTTCGTGATGAACAATGTGCACAAGATGAATAATGTCACGAGACGAACAG